CGCGTACACACACACACACACACGCGTACACACACACGCGTACACACACGCGTACACACACACACACACGCGTACACACACACACACACGCGTACACACACACACACTCTTAAGGGGTGGCTGATGCACGTAAGCACATGTTTTTGGACTGCGTAACAAATCTGTGGGAGTTCCCGGAGGAGATCCACATTAAAGCGAAGGTAACATGCAAATCCCAAATAAACAGCTGGACTGGGAACCAAACCCGCAGCCCTGGAGGCGGGAGACCACAATGCTATCCAGTGAGCCACAGCGTAAAAGCAGCATAATTACGTCTAAAGTGTAGGTAATACCCGCTGTATTTTCTTCCATAAGCAGTATCAGCTATATGCTATTACCATTCACACTAATTAAAATAAAGAGAATAGTAGCTACTGATTGCTTTGCATATTTGTTCCAAATTCCCAACACAATATCTCTTAACTTGCCTTTAAAGGGGCTGCACAGGCCAACATCCAAACTGCTAAACTGCACATGCAGAGCTGGAGTGTAAATCTAAGCCACGACCCTGGATGTGTGAGGCGACAGCACTGCTCACTAAAGCAGCATGTCACCTGCCTGGGTAAGTACTACAGTGCCCATAATGCCCTGGGCACGGTGACGACACACGTCCCCATCTGCACTTCACAAAGTGATCACAGTTCACCATGGTACATTAAAATCAAGCAAAAACTATAGCACATAAATAGATTAATAATTCAGGACTGCACAGGTAAGGCGGACATTAACATTTATGCTGTTACCTATGGAGAGGCAGGGGACCCACGATGGACAGAGGCTCACCTGGGAGGGATTTTGATCCCGTTGTCTAGCTGCTTCAGGTCTGCAGCGTGTTTGGACTCCTGACGGACCTCGCCATCCCACTGCTGCACCTGCAGAGTGTGGGACACTGAGTCGGCAGCCATCAAACCAGCCATAGACAGGGACACCTGGGGGAGGGGAGAGACAGGCATTAAGCACCATCGGTGGATCGATCTCGGAGCTGCAGGGAACAGCCGTCGACAACCCCCCCTAGAGGGGACCTGACGGAGCCTCACCCGCTCTCTCACTACATCAGGCATGGTCGCCAGGTCCTCTGATGTCACTTCCAGCCGGTCCGGGAGGATGACAACCTTCACCTCCTCCTCATAATGCTCTTGCTCCACGTCGAAACCGCCCTCAATTCCTGAGAGAGAGAGAGAAAGACAGAGAGAGTTAAGAAAGGTACTGTCCCACAGGGTAACTGACAAGCCTTCAAGCCTTTCATACACTTCAAGCAGTGTATTAAAGCCTTACTAGGTAAACAGCACAGAGTACAAACAATTCACTTCCAGTCCTACCTATAGCCAGTCGAGTGGGCTTCTTCTTAGGGGGGTCCCCGGACCCAGAGCCATTGTCATCCTCCTTCTGAGTAACACAATCATTGCAACTTCAATAAATCAAAATCAATGCCCATTCGCAAACAATACAATTACCAGGAACGTGGAATATATTGATCGACAAACTCAAACACTGGGAAATCGTATTTCTTATTTGAAGCCACATGCAATTTCTGTACCTAAAGCAACCACACGCAGGTCTTAAGATGCCGCTCCGCATGACTTACCTGTGTCTTTCGGGTACGGCTGATGTGCAGGTAGGCTCTCTGGCCGGTCTTTTTGTAGTGTCTATCCACGTACTGGGATCCAAATCCCAGGAAGGTGTTCATGCACACGTAGAGCCCCCCCTCGCTTTCCTAAGACGGGCAAAAATAAAATGAAGTGATCACGGTGTGGGCCAATCTGCAGGTGCACCGACAGACAACAAAGATGGCAAAACAAGATAATAATAATAACAACAAACCATCCATAAAAGGCCAAAGAGAAGATCCCGAATTGGTGCCGGAGACTTTAGTCACAAAGAAAGTGATCGGTAAGTTGGCGATCGGTACAAATGAACCGAAAGGGAAATTAAGAAGTAGAGACGGAGAAAAGAATGAAAGAGGCGCAAAGGGAGAGAATGACAGAATGTATGGACGGACGGAACCAGACGAGGAAGCACAGAGAAACTACGGAGACAGATCGGCAGGTGGGATGAGCTCACCGGAGTAGCGAAAGACAAGGCGCACTCGTCTTTGTGGACGCGATCCCCGGGCCTGGGAACCCGAATCGTGGACAGGACCGACATCAAAACCTCGCTCGCCTCCGCCATCTCTCACTGCCTCTATTTCTGCCTTCTGGTCGTACACTGGTGTCTCGCTTTCGCACTGTGCGCCTCCTTGGTTTTTACCTAAAGCCGGCTCTGTAATTCGTCCTCCGTTAGATCTTCCCTACAGCCCGTCTTTCTCACTGAGAATCTCCCTCACTGTTTCTCAGCCTGGTCCAGCGAGTTTCAGTCGGTGCAAGGCCGGACGTGCTTAAGACTCACCACACACACATTGGATGGTAGCCACTGGTCGTATTACAGAGAATATAAACGCCATTCGACGCACACATTGGACGAGAATTGTTAGTGTACTACAAGTATAGAATCCACACTAATAAAAATAAACTTTAACTTAACCGTAGAAAAATTATACGAAGGTATGTTACAGGTTTTTATATGCTCTGTTTTTGTAGACCAATACAATTATGTACGACTGTAACTTGTATAGTTATAAATGATAACACATCATATAGTTTCAAAAAACAATTACACTACTTTAACTTTAACAGACATATCACATAAGTTGAAGAATGAGAATGGCAGCAGTCATATTTAAATATATATATTTAATAAAAATTTTAACTTATATGTAATGGCGCATTTACCATAGCATCTACGGTAAGGTCATAGAACTCCATGATGAGAAGGCGGAATTTGGATTTGTCTTTCGGTAAAACTCAATATCGCGACCTTGTGAAGTGGAGTACTAATTACAGCTGCAGCAATAATCCCCGTTACTTGAGTAACTAAACTATGTTACCTTTGGATTTGTCTAACAATTCCCTTTATAAGTATACAAGTTTTATGTTGACATTTTGCAAAAATCATATCTTGATGTATTCCTTCTGGAAGTCACCATTTCAGGACTGGTACCATTTCACATCACTTTTGCTAAGAAGCGACACCACACTCCTACTTACCTCATGGAATGGGTTAGCCCTGCTGAATATCTTTCGGTTAATCCATGATGACAAAGTAAAATAACGGCAAGAATAAAGACTAACAAAAACAGAATATAACAAATCACCATCTGAGCACAAATATAGTTAAGTAATAATTGTTTTATTTCTCAAGTTGTCTTTGCAGTAAAACATTTACAACAGATAAACTGTGGTGATGTCACCTAAAATAATTTACTTCATCACAATAAACTTGTTTCAATACATTTCCTAAAATGACTTGCCCATTTCTTTTCCAGCTGTAAACTTTAAATGTTATTCACAAGGTATTTATACATAGAGAACTCATCAGTCTAACAATAAATGCCAATTTATCAAATATAATATTCATAAAGCATGCATTATATGCATAAGAATATGCATTCAAAAACATATTGATTTCAGTGGCAGAAGCTGTAGGTTCCAATGGTTGTTTTTGCTTTTAAGACAAGCAAACCATCCCTTCATCCATCCATCTGCCAACCACTGGCCAAAGACACTAGGAGCACATCCCAAGCAGAACAGGGCACTGGGCTCTAATCTCTAATCTCAACATGACGACCTTAACCCATACCCAGTTCTAACCTTAACCATATGAAACCAAACACAATATAAGACTTATGGCATTTTTACTTTTTTGATTGCAGTCACAAATCTTTGTGGAGACTCAAAAAACAGACTGCACAATGTCAAAATAACAGGTTTTTATTACATGTTACATTTGGTTCCCATCAATGTAATATAAACCTAATCCACGCACAAACACACAAACACACACACACACACACACACACACACATATGCGTTTGTCTTCTCTGTGGGGACTCTCCATTCAGTTCTATGGGAAAATCCGTAATCCCAACAATGACAACCTTAACCCCTACCAGCCCTGATCTTAACCATAAGTTACACCATTAGTGTGTGTGAGTGTTACCTGTGATGGACTGATACTGCAGCCCCACTCTGCCTGGGATATAAGACTACAATACTTCCACCATTTTTAGTTTTTCTAAAATTGAGTTTACACTTGTGGAGATTGAAAAGGTGGTCCCCACAATATCAAAATCACAGGCTTTTATCATTTTCTGGAGACATTTGGGCCTCACAATGCAATATACACATAACCCCCAACACCCCCCCCCCCCTACCTCCACCACACACACACACACACACACACACACACACACAAAACATTTAACCCATGCCCAGCCAAACCAACGGATTGTAAAAGGGTAAAGGAATACTGTATATAAACAGGGAGAACATCCACAAAATCCACAAACAGAACAAAAGGATGCAAGTTGAACAGCCAACCCTGACAGTTTACTGTATACTGAGGTAATGAAAATGGTAACATAGTAACTACAACGTGGTATTTTGCATTCTATTTTATTCTTTAAATGTGCTTCCTGCGCTTACTATGATTTTTCACAGTTTAAAACGACTGAACGTTTGTCTGTGCTTTCCGAATTCTTTCCTTATCATGTCTGTAAAGGGGGTGCACACATGTCCCCAAACCACGGGAGCAGCGCAAGATAACCAGCTATTTGACTTTGGCAGCCAGATTGCACTATTTGTACGCATTGACTGCTCTCTCACTGCACGTAGGCCATGGAGAATTACCTTTATGTGAGCTGATAGAATTCAAATGTGTCATGTGCATTTTGCGTCGCATCCAAAACCGAGATATACTGTCTTTTGTCGGCTGCTTAGTTTCCCGTTGCGTTGCTGATACCTCAGCATTACACAGGGTTAATGTGATTTGTTCGCTACCTCCCCCCATCCCTTTAACTCTGACCCTCCCACTATTCGCGAGTACTGTTGAACCCCCATGCATTTCACCGCACATTCCTCCTTACGCCCTCCTCTTAGACCTCCTCTTCCACTCCCCTCTCCTTCTCCCTCCTTCTTCTCTAGGGCGTATTATGGCGCTCCACTCAAAAACTGCAATTGTATACGTGGCGCTGTTTTTCGCTCATGTTTCGTTACCATTTTTCTCAACGAAAACTGCAGCCAGCGGTGCAGGATCAACGAGTGGCCCTATAGACCCTTATGATGCCCTGTATTATACGGGGGTCCGGGCTTATTTCAGGAAAGAGTGGGAGAAAGCGGCGGAGCTGATAGAGAAGTCGATCGCATCCCGGGAGTCACTTTTCCAGACACGTCGAAAATGTCACGACAGCTGTGTCACAGCTGGACACGACCGGCTGCCTAAACTGGGTATTTGATGTGTGTGTGCATGTGTATGCCTGTGAATTCAGGTTGCAGAAAATCGTTTACATTTACCTGCTGTTACAACACTCGTATGGTTCACGGATAACTTACATGGATATTTATACACAAAACAACGCATGCAAGATACAACTTAACTCACTTTTTAATGTTTTAATGTTATAATAAGATGAGGAGAGCTGCAGCTTTGGAGTAGGTTTCAGTGAATGGTGATTTGCAATGAATTTTGGATTTGTGACTAATGTAGCACTTAGATAATTTATTTCTTACATATACCCCTTCAGATGCTGAGAAGGGCAGTTTGTGGGACTTATGGGCTCTGGACTGGGTCCAGCAGAGGGCAGAGTGTGTCCAATACTGTCTCGCTCAAGCCATCAGCCCAGCAGCCCTGCTCCCTGTCTCTGAGGACATCCTGTATGAGTTTGGCATCCGCAACCCCTATAACTTCCTGCAGGTCACGTACTACAAGGTAGCCACTAGTTCAGGCCTGCATATGTGTGTAATGTATCTTCTGCCCTTCAGCACAACCCCCTCCACCCAGTTACCTCTCCACACCCATCTAATCAAATTGAATTACTCAACAAGTTTATGGGGACACACAGCTGCTAATTTCCATTTCTTCACTGAAAACACTGGTCCACCACCCTTTGCAGAAGAATAAATCCATTGTAAGAAAATCTGTGCAAACCTGTGGGCCTGTCAGTCTTAGCCAGTTAGATCATACAGCTCGATAAGAGGTCATTACATGTACATTGGTATCATTTGCACATATTGCTGAAAAGACATTAAATACCGCTATTGTAGGGCAATTAAGCTCAGTAGTGCACATGATGAACTCTGCACTCTTGATTGACTCTATATTTCTGTAAAATCAGTTGTGTGTTGCGCCCCCAGCTGGGGAGGGTGCAGAGGGCCGTGTCTGCAGCTCACACATTCTTTGTGGCCAACCCAAACCACCTTGAGATGAGGAACAACTTGGAGAAGTACAGGCGAATGAAGGGAGTGACAGAGGAGGCCTTTCAGGACAGGGAGAGAGAAAAGAAGAAGCACTGGGTGAGGCAGGAGCTGGGGGGGGGGCACTGGAGTGATACGCTGTGGGACACAGAATGACAGAGATTCTCTGAATTTCCTTTTTTTAAATGCACACTCAGGGAAACCCTGCACTCATTAGTTCTGCTAGTTTGTTGTGTAGACTATCTAATATTTTCACTCAATAAGAAATTAACTGCTAATGCATGAGCTATCAGCCGCTATCACAGAATTCCAACCGGCGTAATTGGATATAAACTAATTTATATTGCTGGTAAATGTAATTAAATCATGTTCCACCAGGGGGCAGATAGCAACCACTTAACCTTAATAACCCAATTACCTGAAATAATCATTCTTAAACTGCTGTACATTGCTAAGATGGCAGTTTTATTTAAAAACACCAACAGATTATTGTATTATGACACAAAGCTCTCTCCCTTACCGGCTGCCTTGCTTAGTCACTGTATGACATGGCAGTGCTTTCGGAATCCTCCTCTGAATGGCCCCGCACGGTGGAGGAATGGAGGGAGTGCCTGAAGGAAACACTGAAGCAGACAGAGGAGTGCCGGGTGCAGTGTGTCGTGGAGGGGCAGCGTTTCCCTGAAAGAGAGCCGGAAGCCTCGGAAGGCGTGTTTGAGAGGGCTGCAGGTAGAGGGCGCTCTTAACTAGGCCTGTTATTTCTATGTCATTGAAGATGTGCCTGCAATAGTGCTGTTTGCTTATAACCATATTTCTCTCCTTAAACGTTATATTGTAATGATGTCACTAAAGTCACTAATTACACATACAACTTCCTATGCAGCTCTCTCCCTTTCCTTGCTGGCCTGTCAGCAGTCGTGTGTGTCCGTCGTGTCAACACGACCCGGAAGGATCTCTCCTCATGAGGACCTCCTTCCAACGATCCTGGAGCACTTACATATCGCCCAGTTCAAAGGTCAGAGTGATTCATTGCCTTCCTGGGTTGTGTTCGAAATGTCCACTCGTCCACTATATAGTGAGTCAACTATATTTTAATGCTGCCTGAATTCTGAACTATGAATGTAATCCACTATATAGTGCACTACAAATCAGCGTGAAGCACACCAAAATGGAGTTTACAGAAGCTGGACCCTACCTTGGTCGACTTAGACCATCATACATTGCGGTCTGTCACATGAGTGTTTGAACCATATTTGAGAAACTTTGTTCAGTCTATACTGTAACTGTTAACCATTTTAAGTAGCTCAGTTATAAAATACTTGGACATGAGCTATAACAACAGTGGCAGGGCTACCGCTGCTTTGAAACAAATGGTTATTTTAATGTATTTGGATGCTTTACGTGGGTAATGTTAACACAAAATTAATGCAGTATATTGAAGATTAGTATAAAACACCATAGTTACTGCTGCAGTCCCCATTTTGCTTGCATAGGTGAATACAGTACAGTCAAGTATGTTGTAAATAAAGTTACATGTAGACGGATTTCTATTGTAAAGCTCTGTTTAATTTTTGTTTCAATGTTGTGAAGATATGTCAATTACTACATGTACTTATCCAAGAATAGCAACATTGGTGCCCATGTTGTGTCATGTTTTTTTATTACAATAATAAACAACAAAATATATAACAAAGAAAAAAGTAAATTTTTCAACATTATACTTTAATGCTAGAGCAGATGTTCTGGCATCTGTTTATGCAGCAAAGATAACAATTATAAATATCTGGCGCATAATTATACAGCAGCGTAACATCCAGCAAGTGTCCAAAATGCATGAATCTCTGTCTGCCCTTATCCCCTAGTGCATTTCAAACACAACCCTGTTTTGCAGTTATAAAGAAGAAATGGTGTGCTTGTATTGGAAATAAGTTCGATCTTATTAATATTAAGATTGACTTTATTGATGCCAGGGGAAATTTGGGTGCATACAAAAGCAAGAGACTAGTGCACAAATAAATGTGGTGCAAACAAATTTTAAAAGTACACAGTACTAAGTACATTTTCTACATTTTTGTCTGTCCTAACCTTTCCCTTTTTATTTCTGCCCTGACAGCGGGAGACCTGAAGGGGGCAGTGCAGACCATTCGCTCTCTCCTCCTCTTCTATCCATCCGATTCAGATTCTCTCTCCAACTTGCAGCTCTACTTTGAGAAACTAGGGGGTGACACTGAGTCCCAAGAGGCACAGCCCTCAGAGGTCGGTTGTTGGTGATGTGGGGATATAATCTGTTTTCTCATATTCTGGTGTGAATGCTGTGCTTGCCTTTGCTTTGACGCTCCTCTGCCTCATCTGGTTGTAATGATTTTGTTATCTGGTGATCTTTTCTCCTCAGGAAATTTCCAGCTATGTTAAGAGATCATTACTAGAGAAGAAGTTGCTGTTTTTTGGAGCTGAAAACCTGGATTTCAGTTTCATCGACCCAGTATGACTACTGTTTTTGTAGTGGCTGTGACCACAGTTACACAGTACAGTGGTGGGAGTCACATGTCACATATTTAGTGACGGGATTCCAGTCAGAACTGTTTACTTGTGATTTCCTACCCCAGGACTTATGGACCCCAGAAGAGGTTGTTCCCGAGTCCTTGAGAAAGGCTTGGAGGTGAGTCATTGGCCTGTGTATATGTTCACAGCTTTGGTTTCTAGTGGTTGATTTTAAAGGATACTTACTACAGGACTCAGGATGTAGTTTTTCATGCTGATGTCTAAATTTCTTGCTTCCCAGAGCAGAGAGGGAGAAACTGCAGGAGAGAGAAAAGGAGGGACAAAGAGAGGAAGAGATGGATGACAGCGGTTTCTATGCAGGTAAAAATCCTCTCCCTTCTTCCGCTAGAATTAACGCTGCGCAAGAGCTCTGATAACCATTTCTTTAATCTGGCCACCAGGGGGCCACGTTCCTCTTGTTGGGGTGGATATTGTCATGGACAGTGCTGCCCTGAATGGGACCAATCGCGTTGTGCTGGATGGAGTCCTGTCGCCAAAAGAATGTCAGAACCTGCTGCAGCTTGCCACCGTAAGCCCCGGAAACGGAGGAGGGAGAGAACTGCACCCGGTGCCTGTTAACCGACGCACAGGTTTGAGCTGCTCTCTCCTTCTGTGGCCTGACAGGCCGCTGCCTCGGCAGGAGATGGCTATCGGGGCCGGAGGTCCCCCCACACGCCACATGAGAAGTTTGAGGGTCTCACCATCCTCAGGGCTCTAAAGGTGAGCGGCCCTCCACACGCGGCGTGTCACCTTCGCCAGCCGGATGCCACGTGACCGTGCCTGTTATCCTTTCCCCCAAGATGGCACAAGATGGGGTCCTAAACCAGACAGATGTTAAGCTGCTGCATGAGATCGGGGAGCGGGTGCGCACCCTTCTGCATTCCTACTTCAGGAGCCCCTCCCCCCTTTACTTCTCCTTCACCCACCTGGTCTGCCGCACTGCCATCACAGGTACTCTATCTATCTATCTATCTATCTATCTATCTATCTATCTATCTATCTATCTATCTATCTATCTATCTATCTCTTAGCCAGACTGGCTCCAACAACTCGTCTCTAAGGTGTAGTGGTGGCTTAATGGTCAGGGAAGTGCACTTATAATTGAAAGATTGCAGGTTTGAATCCCTGACCAGGAAGGCACCACTGAGGTACCCTGAGCAAGGTACTGCTCCCTGGGTGCTAAAATAGTTGCTCCCTACTATGTCACATATGGGTTAAATGCAGAGGACACATTTCATTGTTGTGTGCTGTGGTGCCCTGATCACTAAATTCTGTGAGCCCCCTGCTGGCACAGCTCTGTCATTGCATGCATGTTGGGATGTCCATGCAGGTCAGCAGGAGGGAAGGCAGGACCTCTCCCATCCAGTTCATGTGGACAACTGTCTGTTGGAGGCTGAGACACGGCAGTGCTGGAGGGAGCCGCCTGCCTTCACCCACAGGGACCTCAGGTTTGGGGGCTGCAGCGGGTGCAGAAACATGCAGTTATAAAGGCACTTTCAGCAATCTGTCCCAAAACCATTTAGATCTTATTCCATGGGGAGTATCAAATATGCTTTGGACGTACAGAGTATGAATCATCAGCACTGTTTGCTTACTTAGGATCCTGTTCATTATCGCACTTGCCAGTGAAGGGGCTTTATGGTCTGTTATTCACCAATTCTTTGTCTTTACAGTGCCTTGCTGTATTTGAACGATGACTTTGAGGGTGGGGATCTCTTCTTCACAGGCAGAGATGCTAAGACTGTTTCGGTAAGGAGCGGAATGCCCTGATGTCTTATGAACACTCTGCTGCAGGTGGCAGCCTCTGAGATGGTCTGGCATTTTGGCTCCTTTTCATTTAAGAGTGTCATTCCTCTTTGCTCCCCTGCAGACTACAGTGAGGCCCGCTTGTGGACGCCTCGTGGGGTTCTCCTCTGGACCCGTAAACCCCCATGGGGTTACCGCGGTGACCGCCGGACAGAGATGCTCATTGGCTCTCTGGTTCACTAAGGAGAAGCTCCACAGAGACATGGTGAGATGGACCATGAGGTTCGCGAAAGGGAGACGTACAGTGTGATTGGATGTGTAACAAGCACTCACACTCTCACTCACTCTATGAATAGCAAGAGTGAGAGAGATATCATGTAGAATAATTAAAACTATCTAGGAATAGTGGGAGAACGGATATGAATGCCTGATAAAACAGAAGAAAGTCATCAGTTGGGCTAAGGTGTTTATAGCACTTTGTAATATCAGCCTGTATTAATCCATAATGCTTTCCAAAAGTATGTAAGATATGTGTGGTAGGTTGCTGGTTCAGTATGGTGTTGGGTTTGTCACACAAGCTGTATGTAGTTGGTTTGGATTGGGTTGGCCTCGAACCTTGTTAACCGGTTGGTTGTTGGTTCAGTTTGGGTTTGGGTTGGCCTTGTGCCTCATTAACTGGTTGGTCTTCCCTTAGGAGCGGGAGGAGGCTGAAGCTCTGTGGGCAGCAGAAGGACAGAATGTGAAGAAGGCCGACGATGAGGACGAAGATGAGGCCCGCGGCACCCGGCGCTTGGCACAGAGGCAGGGCTCCAGGGAAAAGAGCAAATCCAAGGACAGAGTGATAGGGGCGCGAGACGAGCTGTGACCTAACAGCAGGAGTGGCGCCAAAGAGCCAGCGCTTAGGACTGGATCACAGCTTGCCTTGTTTCCTGTTTTGGCGTCTGTGTTTGGCTGACTTCCTGCACATTGCAGATGTGTATAGTGGTTTCACTTGCCCATATGACCCCCCTCCCCACCCTGGCCAGGGTGGTCCATCCTGGATCCTGCAGTCCATCCCCTCAATGTCCACAAAAACCTGGGATCTGTGGCTTAACCTATGCCTTGGAGTCAGGAGGTTAACCTTCATTAACTAGTCGTGATGTTCCTTTCCTTCACCACATCCATGTTACAGTGGGGGGGGGGGGGCATTAACTGTGGGGTCAAGCTCGCCCACGCCTTAACACTGATGCTTTGAGAGAGAGGAAAGAGGGATAGAGGAATATAAAGGGAGAGAGGGATTGCGGTTAATCCCTCATAAATAAGTGAATTTGTTTATGAAGATTAAAATCTCCATTTAGAATATGGAATTGTAATCCAGGAGTAATCATTCAGTCGCTCACATATAACACCCCTCCCCCATCACAACCTGATCCATGTCACGTTTAACCCTTTCTAATTAACCCACGCCCTTCCATCAATCTCATTGTTCTTTGTGTATTACCAGACCATTTGTAGGAGATCCCTGTTTGTATAGCATGATAACCCTCTCAGTTCCTCTCTTTACCATAATCCATGTTTAGCAGTGGAATGAGTTCAGTGGGATAACGCTTGTGCAATTAAGTGGATGTTAATTTCTTCTGATGCAAAACAATGTGTATATAGTGCAAACAGTTGCTTTCACTTGCTACATTTTGAATATATTTCTGTGCCAACAATTTACCACTTTTCTTCCACCAGGAAATAAAATGAGAAATTATCAGATAATTTATATACTTTAGGTACTGTGCCAGTAAAGCACCACACATAGGGCACATAGTATAGGGCATCTAGAGGAAGAGCAAGGATCAGCATCCATCTTGGGTAGAAAATCACACTGCAGGTCGGTCTCCGTGCAGATCTGGTAGGTCACTTCAGTTTGTGCTCTTCTTTCAGTCTTAGCTCAGCATAACATGGCTGCCCTGATCTAGTGCGTGATGCCAATAAGAGGAGCTCCCATCAATACAGGAGATCAGATCATGGCCTTCCCTGATCCCGATCTCCTTTGCTGCCCCACTACATTCACTTGCTCTTTCACCCTACTTCTTCCTCCATGACCTGATGCAAAGTGGGCCGTATTAAGAGTCAGGGACAACTCTTTTGAAAGTTGCTGAGCATGTGATGTTCTGCACTGCTCTATAGCTCAGCTCTCGTCACACTCGAGGTCCTTCTGTTGGTTTCAGTTTCAAAGTGTTCAAGGATTCAAACCATTCAAAGGAGCTGTCACTGCCACATACTCCAAGTACAGTGTAATTCTCACTTGTGTGAGAGTATGAGAGACTCAAGACACCGTATTTACAGAGAATAATAAGGAAAGCACTGCAGCCTGATGGGTCGATCCTGTATTCTGGGCAGCAGTTTTGGAGAGCAGTCACACTGGAGGAGATGCTGACCTTCTGCACCAACCACTGAATATACCAATCCTCTGGAACTTGGAGCCCAGATCTGCATCCTCATCCATGACATCCTCCATGTGGGCAGGAGGTGAGGGATGGGTCTGCCGTCCTCCGTGTGGGCAGGAGGTGTGGAATGGCTCTGCCGTCCCTCTCTCTCCATGTAGGCAGGAGGTGACAGATGGATGTACTGTCCTCCATCTGGGCAGGAGGTGAGGAATGGCTCTACCATCCTCCTCTCTCCATGTAGGCAGGAGGTGAGGGATGGCTCTGCCATCCTCCGTCTGAGCAGGGGGTAAGGGATAGTTCAGCCATCCTCCTCCCTTTACCTGGCCAGGAGGTGAGGTATTATTATTATTTTGCCAATGTGCTAAAGCCCTGGTCCTCCTGTCAGTCATGGCTCTGTTTCTGGGCCCCTCAGCATTATACCACATAATAATAATTGATACTTTATTGATCCCTGTGGGGAAATTGTCTTTACATCTCCTTCAACTTGCTCTGTTGTAGAGTAATTTGTCCACGAAGAGCAGCCACCCATAGCAGCACCCAGGGAGCTGGGGGTTAAGGGCCTTGCTCAAGGACCCACAGACATGCTGAGGCTGGGTTTGAACCAGCAACCTTCTGGGGAGGTCAGATCTCCTTGCACTGTCTGCCCCTTGGTGCTTCTTGTCTGCTGAGCCTCAGCCTTGTTTGAGCAGTATGGCTATTTCCCCTCGCCATGTCTTCGATGAAGTGCAGCCCCAGCCACATTACGTAACGGCACTCTATCCTTCCCTCAATATCCAAGCCCCTGCTTTACCTTAACTTATTTCCATCCAACTATCCTCCATCATTGCTCACCGCACCCACTTTTGTGCTTTGCCCATGCTGCATCTGCTCTGCCATTGGTTTTCCTTGAGCGACTCCCTATTCGCCCTCATCCCCATCACTCTGTCCATTTCTGGGCTTATCCCTTCATCCCTGATCTCCCTTCATCTCCTCCAATCCTCATTTGCTTATCACAGGAGTGACAGAGAAGGAGGGAAAAACGGAGCGACATTTCTGTTGCCGTGTGAGAGGAAAAAGTGAAAGACAGAAGGAGTGTGGGATGATAGGAGAGGGTCCTCGGCAGCAGCGCGGCTTGTAAAGAGGAAACTCTGCATTGTGGGTGACAAGGTGAGTGAGTGATCACATGGTTACTGTGTGTCTGTCATCGTCCTCAACAGCAGATCAGCAGAGTCACATTACACCGTAGAGTCTGTGCTCATCCTAGTAGTTGTTTTCACCACATACAAAATGACAATCAAATACTGCACCAGCCATAATATCAACATAGTATATTTCACATTAGAGGAGTGGACTTTAAGAGTACATACTGCATTTTTTATTACTAGTAATAGTCCAGCAACTCCAACTTTTAGTATTACTAATAGTTCTGCTATAACTACAGATACTACTAATAAATCAACTACGCATAGAGCATTAGAAATTATTAGTATTGCAAAATGTTGACATAATTCTGCCTTAAAGTGTATAAATGTTTGAAATCTTCAAACTATGAATTTGAAATTTGAGCATTAAGCGTTCAGGCACAAACAGGTGTGAGACGTAGCTGGTGGCCCTATTTTGAGGAGAGCAGCCAAGTATCTCATCTGATCAGAGAACAGCAGTAGATGCCACAATGTGCCACATACAGCGGCTGTGCCATGCCAGTCTCCATGGCAACAGACAGCCAGCGGTACGCTTCCTCAATGCTCCCATTACCAACTTTCACAGTTGGACCCATTCAATTACATGGTTCTAACAATGTAAGTTTGCTTTTGGGAAACGCACCCCAGGAGCACTGGGAATGGGATGCAAACCTGGGGATACTGGGGACAGGTGCCCCGAAACACCACCGCAGTTTGGAGGTGGGGCCTCAGGGTGAATTTTGCCAAGGAAGCCCAAGATTTCCCTATTACAAATAGTTACAGACAGCAGCATCACCGTCGAGACGGGGGCCATTAGGCGATTGACAGGTGCATTGGCCGTTGTTTAATTAAAGAGTGGGATCAAGCGATTAAAGTTCCAGGTCGAGATCATCATCGTTACCTGATGTATTTTCACGGCGTGGCAGGAGAGTTCTGGGTAAACAAAACTGCACTAACGGCCCGCATTTATGGGAGTGTTTCACTATCAGCAGGACGTTAGCATAATCACTTACACACCATTTCAGAAATACAATATCCTTCTCATTTGAACAGAAGCCTGGACATCTGAATTACCATAAACATCTACAAAGACGATAGTCGCAGACAATCCTACATAGAGAAGTGGAATTTGAGAGCCCTGTAGGTTTAATTAAAGTGTTTCCATTTACAGTCTTTACTTCAGTATGCTGAATATAAATTGACCTGCTTCGCTGGACACTATGGTTAAATCTAGCAAATAATGAACACAGCATTCAGTTCTGAATAGAACAAGTGAAATGTAACAGAGACCAAAGCAGCCATTTTGACTTATTACACTTCAAACAGTAGACACTCGATCACCCAGGGTGCAGTGATGGGAGGGGTGACAGAGTGAGTCAGAGCTAGATGATCGCACCCTGTACACCATGGAAGGGCGAGACCTGCATTGGCCAGCCACACCCTGGCTCTGTCTCTCTGTTCCAGCACTTATCCAGATATAAAGAGCAGTCAGTAAGCCGATGACAGCAGATTTGATTCAGGCTTCCCTAAAAAGCTCTGCTGGGATTTAAGCCCCTCTGTTCCCTCTACAGGAGGGTCACTCTGTCGCTTTTGGGCTTTCTTCTTCCATCACAGTTAATGGTTTTGTCTAGCATCATGCATTGAACCCTATTAGGGTACATCATTGTTATAAGCAGTAAGCAATATCTTACTGAGGCCTATGCCATCATTTTACATCTCTTTCATTATGATAGAGACCATATATATTTAATATATATTTTTATATGTCAAAAGTCCAGAAGAAATTTGTAGGAATCTCTCCCTTCCACTCAGTCACCCAGTCACTCTCTTGTCGCTCTCCACAAACAAATTTTAGTCAAATTCAGCTGGTCATGAGATTTGATAGACACAGACAAACAAAAAGAAAGCAATAGAACGAGAGCAGAGGAGAGCATCACAAAGGGCAAGATAAAACAGGTGTGATACAAAACATCTAAAGAACACAGTGTACATCGTTTCTGCATTTTAAGGTGAGTCCAGAGAACTCCACACCATACTTTTTGCTTGAAACTATTTGACAGTTTGGATGCGGCAATAGTATAGTCTGTGTATGATGACACAGTAAATTATGAAAATAACATTTTAAACACACTTTTTTTGTTTGAGAGAAGAGTTAAGTAGTTGTACCATCATGAGTTTCCAGATGCTGTTTGGATAAGGAGAGAGAAAATATGTATTAAACTTGATTCAATAAATTAGATTTATTGGATATTTAATTTAAAATATATCTAGAAAATAAATTGCACCAGTTTTTTCGTTACTTTTGTTCTGAGGTAATCAAAAGGGAATTTGTTAAGATGACAAATGAATGGAATATAAAACAAACTGCAAAAATACTCAAAAGTTCAGCAATTCATAAAATGAACAGGTTAACTGTCGTGTTTATGGTTGAAGTGGGTAAGAGTACATGTTAAATATCTATGTATTTCTACGTATGGCCCACTGTTGTGTATGTTGAGATAAATCGCAAGTTTTGTGAACATCTTGCAGTGTTACTGCATGGGTGTGCGCATGCTTTTCTGAGCATGTGCAACTTTGCAAAGGTGCATTTGCAAAGCAGTTGAGGGACATTTGAATTGCAAATGCCTGCTCAAACGAAAAACTTAGCTAGAAAGTCATTAGGGGCAAACAAGATAAGCAAAATAACCTTGAATAAAATTACTTAAAATGCTGACAAATTTAGATCATATAATGCGATTAATAATGAGAAACATTGGTACTAGCATAAAGCCAGTTATTATTTTTATCTTTTTCTACCTAGCATTTTTTCTGTCAGCTTGAAGTCACTTCCTGTCTGTTGCCATCGGTAACAGCACCTCCACCAGTTGCCATGGGTGAAATGGATCAGCTGCGCAAAGAGGCCGATAGCCTCAAGGAGCAGATTACCGTCAGTGTTGCAATCTACATCTGATACACTGTTTCTCAGCACAACTTTAGTCACTTTCCAGCATCTATTAATTTTTGCTGGTTTAACTATTTAAAACATAAAGTTATTTCTACAGAATAACAATTTGTGGTCCCTAATGTATTTCCTGTACTAATATTGTAATTTGTGACGGGGCACTGGATGATTACACAGCTGAATGTTTTTGTGGCCCTGAGTTTCCACCTGGCTCAGCTACAGTGTCTGCTTTCCCCCGGGGCAGGCCGCTCGCAAGTCTGTCCACGATTCCACCCTGGGGGAGGTGGTGGCATCAACGTCTGTGGTCGGCCGTGTCCAAATGAAGACCAGGAAGACTCTGAGGGGTCACCTGGCCAAGATCTATGCCGTGCACTGGTCCACTGACTCCAAGTAGCTGTCATTTTTAATTACTGCACCCTACACACTGGCAATCTGTGCTGATCACTGACTTTTATGGACATTTCATAAACATCACAGCCAGAATGTTACAGTATAAAAATCAATGTTATAAATTACGTAAACTGTGCATGTTATATACTGTAAAATAGTGTATTATTTAAAAAAAGTAAATATATCAGGCAAGGGATTTTAATACCATTATATTATTAGAAACCAATTTTATTTACTCTAAAATGATATTTTATAGTGTGTTGTAAATAGCTAATTGTGCTTGGTTACTGAACCCTGTCCACCCATCCTTCCATCCATAACTGTTCATCCAGTGCGGGCCACTGAGCCATTCTTCATATTCAGTTCTCAGACTCAGGAGACATTTCCCTCCCCCAGACAGAGACCTACAGAATAGGGGGCATCAGTGATCAGGCTGTACTCAGCATGTCATGCTAACAAGAAATCAGCAGCATTTGACTTTTTATTCTTCATTTTTCCTCCACACTGATGGCCACCTGTCTCCACGCTCTAGGCTGTGCGTCAGCGCGTCGCAGGATGGCAAACTCATCGTGTGGGATAGCTACTCCACAAACAAGGTACAGACACTCACGTCAACCACACGATCGATTACGATTCCAAATACTGTTGCTATCATTAAATAAGACCCCATACATTTCATAAATGTTAGGAAACAAAGGAAAAAGACATTAGTTTATCAAAAATGTTTAACGATATTTTTCTGTAGTTCTTAAGTACTTAGAGTATTCTTAATGAAGCACAAACAATAAGATTATTTCCTGTCTGCCCAGGAAGTGAGCTCAAAGCCTTTGTTCCTCTTTTTGCCCTCCCTTCCCAGGTGCACGCCATCCCTCTCAAGTCATCATGGGTGATGACATGTGCTTATGCTCCTTCTGGAAACATGGTGGCATGCGGCGGCCTGGACAACATGTGTTCCATCTACAACCTTAAGGGCAAAGACGGCAACGTCAAGGTCATGCGTGAGCTGGCCGCACACAACGGTAAATGCCCACAGACTTCAAACATTTATGAATAGAAATGAAAGGTTAATATTCTTTTTATGGTAGTTCCTAAGTGTTCACTGCGAGTGCATGAGGTCCAAAAGAGCTAAGCATTGTGTTTTACCTGAAATTAAAAGCTGGTAAATGTATGTGTACAATCATTGCTCTTATGAACAGTATATATTTTTGCACACTAACATTATTCAGTTGCTTAAATGTCTGAGAGAAATCAGCATTTTTCCTAAGCTCAGATGAAATTAAAGTGCGAGTCTTTCAAGAGTGACCCTGAAAATAGCCAGACAAGCACTTCCTGCACCCACCAGAACTGCAAGCTCATTGGTCAGAAATCCCTTGTAAAGCAGCCAGTCAAAACACCTGATATTGTCACTTCTCTAGGATACCTGTCTTGCTGCCGATTCCTGAATGACAGTGAGATCATAACTAGCTCTGGTGACTGCACCTGGTAAGAAGTTATCATCACCCAGTAACTAGCCTCATCACCCATGCATCTCCTTAGACCACTACAGTGGTACCTCATTTCTCGAACTTAATCCGTTCAGAACTCCGGATCGAATCCTAAAAAGTTTGAGTTCTGATCGAATTTTCCCCATAAGAAGTAATGGAAAACCAATTAATTGGTTCCCGGTCCCAAAAAATTACACCTAAATATGTTTTTTTAGCATTTAAACACAAAATGAACCGGATAAAACAAGAAGAGCACACATCTAAGCACATTTATCAAAACAGTCATTTGTAAAGTTAACCCTGTGTGGAATCCCCGTGTGATCAGCTGTTTCTGGTTGTTGTCATTAGCCCTCTGTATTTCGTCCGCGTTTCAGGTTGTTTCCCCAGCCAGGTCATTGTATTGTCCGTCTGCGTTTTGCCTGCCTTACCTGTAATTAAACCCCGTATTCCCCGATACCCTGACGTCTGCGCCTTTGTCTCCGTTCCGTCCCCGCTCGGCACGACAATATTATTATAATTACATGTATTAATGGTTTATTATTAATATTAAAATAATTTATAAGAAATCTTTATTTTTAAATGTATTTTATTATATAATAATAATTACTGTTACTGTCTATCATTGTCTAAATGTATTTTTACTGTCTAAATATATGTATTCAGTTAGTGTAAACATGCATGATGCTATCGCAGTGAATGCGAGGCTGAGACTGAAGCTTTACCCTTTGTTTCCGCTGAGAGACATGCCGCGTGACTCATTTCCCTGCGCATATAAGTTAGGTCGGCGTTCACGGTTTGACTTCTGAGAATCAGATCGAGTTCTAGGTAATTTTTTTCGAACTGGTTGTTTCAACTTTTAAGAAATTCGAGTTCTAATGAGTTTGAAAACTGAGGTACCACTGTATTTCCCAACCCGGTCCTCGGAGACCCCCAGACAGGCTATGTTTTTGCTCCTTCCCAGCTCCTGCTATTACTAATTATTATTGTACTGCTGCCATGCTACATTGCTGATGATCTACAACATCAAAGAATCTTACTGTAATACTTCTGAGCAACCTGAAATGCTTCATTAAAGTCATCTACAATACTACTTGGCTAAACATACTACAACATTTAGATAGCAGACACTTTTATACAAAGTGACATACATTTTTAAGAAGGCAGGGTCAGCCAGTCCCTGGAGCAATGGGGGCAACAGTGGCCCAAGGGCCCAACAGTGGCATTATTCTGCCAAGCTTGGGATTTGAACTGGCAAACTTCCAATCAAAGGCACAGCATCATAACCTACTGAGCTCTGCTCCTTTCTCATGTGTGGGTTCCCTCTGATGTCACGGTGCAGCCCTTAATTTTCCACTCCTCTCCAGCGTGCTATGGGACATCGAGACAGGCACTCAGAAAACCATTTTCAGCGGCCACATGGGCGACTGCATGTCCCTGGCTGTGTCACCAGACTTCAACCTGTTCATCTCTGGGGCATGCGATTACACGGCCAAGCTGTGGGACATCCGGGAAGGTGCCTGCAGACAGACCTTCTCAGGACATGAGAGTGACATCAATGCCATCGGGGTGAGGTCTCAGTGCCGGTGTGCTTATGGACAGGACTGGGTCGTGCTTTGCAGGCCTGCCCATTGATGCTCCTTTATGTCAGTGCTTCTCAACCCGGTCCTCAAGGACACCAAGAGGGTCCAGGTTTTTGCTCCCTCCCAGATAGTTCCCAGTACCAGGAGCTGGGGGGAGCAAAAATGTGGAATGTGTGGGGGTCCTAAAGTACCGGTTTGAGAAAACTGCTTTATATGGTTGAGGTCATACTTTGATCCCCATCCTTTATGATCAGTTGTTCACACACCTTTGCTTCCTCAGTTTTTCCCGAATGGAGATGCTGTACTGACAGGCTCCGATGATGCCACCTGCAAGATGTACGACCTACGGGCCGACCAGGAGCTCATCACCTACCAGGATCCCAGCATCATGTGTGGTGTCACCTCAATATCACCCTCCCTGTCCGGACGCCTCATCCTGGCCGGCTACGATGACTTCAACTGCAACATCTGGGACTCGCTGAAGGCTGAGAGAGTCGGTGAGTTCAATGGGGGCAACCTGGATGGACGCAACAGACAGGGGGCCCTGTTCACTATAGCCAGTCACCATGACTTTGTCCCACAGGAGTGCTGGCTGGTCATGACAACAGGGTGAGCTGCATTGGGGTGACACCTGACGGAATGGCAGCCTGCACAGGATCCTGGGACAGCTTCCTGAAGGTCTGGAACTGAATTGGGCCTCCAGAGAGCAACAGAAATGTCCTGGAAAGTGTTCTAAGAGGGGGTGATACAAATTAATAATAAAAGCAGATGGATCTAATGGGTATAGCCACATGGAAACAGAGGGGAAAAGGGGGCATTTCATCCTTAGTATCATTTTGGGAGACTGACCCAGAGGGAGATATTTTTCTTTCCTTCACACCTTTTTCTCTCCCTCCTCCCAATTTACACGTGGGAGAAATAGAATCAGACATAAGTTCCTAATGCTTCCAGGCAGTAAGTAACAGAACGATACCTGCAGCATAGCCTCAGAAACTAGCTATTGCACATTAAAACCATTTAAGGAACATGAATATTAACTTTAATTTTTCCCAGCTATTAATTGTGCATATTATTTTTCATGCAGTGGATCTTCAAATCCATTTTAAAAAGCAAATGTGCAACTTCTGCACCTTTAGTCTCACCCTTGGGCACAAAAACAGGGGCAATGACACAGAACTTCCTCCAGGAAGGCGATCAGGTTGAAAATGCTCAGAGCACTACTCTGAAAAACCTGGACCCCCCCCCCAATTCTGTCTTAGAGATTTGGCACCATATTCTGTATAGAGCAAAGAAACCCTTTAAAATAACCCACTTTCTCATTAAGTCACTAATTTCAGTACACCCTGTTCTTCAGCTTTCTCATCCTAGGATCTTACACCTACCTAATATATATAATCTAATCAGTCTTACTTGCCTTTGTAGTAATTTATACACCTTTCTAATAAATACAAAATTCTAAACTGAATTTTACTGTGTCTGTCATCAAGTATTCAGTGGTTCTTAAATATGCACAAAAACATCCAATTTTTAAAGTAATTTTATTTACATATAAAACAAAAACAAATAAAAAAGTGACAAGACAGCGTTATTCAGAAAAGATCAAGAGAAGGAGTACAGATTAGTGTGAATTCCAGCAAAGCCACCTGCTGGCCAAGGGGAGAAGTGAACTTCCTGCGCTCCAAAGCAGTTTCAAAGCAGTTCTGGCTGGGGGTGAGGCCACACCTGCGAGCCTATCACTGGTTCTCCTTGTCCACAGACACAGACAGGATACGTCTTGGTCTGTCAGGAGTGGTCATCTTCACCTTCATCTGGCCAATCAGAGGAAGCAAAACATGAAGAACAGCCAATAGACTTGACTCACAATCCATTATGGGGGGGAAAAAAAAAAAGTCACTGTTGATTTATGACCTATGCAACTTATAACCAATCGATTTTGACTGGTCCAAGACCACAAATGTGGCCATGACTTCACTGCCGGCAGCACCAGCATCCCCGCAAGACGGTCATTCATTCGTCTTGTGCTCAGACTAGAACCAATTACAGTCGAATGTTGACAACGACCTGTACTGAATCCATTTTCCCATTAAACGTTATGGACAAAAAGTTACTATATAGCTGTAATCTGACTACTAAAAAGCAATGCTTTACCCGTCTGAAAATAATCATGATTTGACAATTCATCCTTAATAAAATGTAAATTAGTCATAATGGCCTTAGCTTGGGTAGCACAGAGTATAAGTACCTGTGAGGCATGGTCACGAGTGGAGTTGTTCTCCTTGAGGATTTGCAGAGGGGAGCGGCCTTCAACTCCCAAACCCTTGCCACACCTCTCTGAGAGTGGAGAGAGGCAGTAAACCATGAGATATGACAGCATGCTAATGTCAGGCAGTACCAATTCACCCATCACTGCTTATCCAGTACAGGCATATAAATGAACCTGGAGTCCATCTTAGGAAGCACAGGGCACATGCTCACACAATCTGTGCCCCTAGAGATGGACACTCATCCAAGCAGCATGTTTTTGGACATGGAGGACACACACAATTAATGAGATGATCAGAAAGCACTTTGAAGAACAAAGTGTCACTAACCCCTCTGCTTCTGTTTGGTCATCTGTCCTCTGTTCTCGCTTCCGGGATTCTGTCCATTTCGGAGAGAGAGGGGGGAGGCACCACTCCTGCCTCGGCTTTGAAGCCCCCTGGCCCTCACTCCAGCGACGCCAAACCCCACCCCCAGCCACTGGGGCTTAAACACCACCTGACTGGGACTTTGGGTATTAAAGACGGGCAGTCTTATCCTATTCTCCCCAGAAGCAGGCTGGTTTTGGGGGGCCTGGACCCGACTGGCAGGAGACAGGCAATGAGGCTTTTCGGTCTCTGGTTGGCATTCAGCTGTGCAAGTAGAGGATTTGGCCTCACTGCTAACAAGTGGTGCAGAAGGGATGAAAGGTTCTGCACTTGAAGGCCTTGCATCTTTGGGAAATACTGACTGAGCATCCTCAGTGACAAGGTCGTTGAGGGTGTCAGAGTCAAGGGGAGGATTACAAGACAGATGAAGATCATCTGCAAGGGACAGAGATGAAACCACCCCTTCATGGCAAGTGAGAAGGCTGGAGCTCAGCTCGACATCTAGAGGTGGGGAGTCATCCATCTCATTTTCCAGAAACTGGCTAGCCTCTATCCCCATTTCCACCTCAACGTCCGATTCTGAGTTTGGAGATGTAGTGGGATCCAAGGAGGGGTTAAGGGGAAGAAGGGGCTCCGTGGAATCCACTTCCCCTTCCACATCCCCAGTGAGGTCTTTTGGTTTAGGAATAGTGTGGGAAGGCGGAAGTTTAACTACTTCCTCCCCATCATTAAGGAGGAGCATACCAATGCGGCGAGAGAAGGAACGGACTGTGGCTAGAAACAGGAAAACCAGAGGTTAGTACCAGTTTAAGAGAAGCTACTACAAGCAAGAAATATTCATAAAACCAGGCAGAACATTAAGTCAGCAAAGTTCCATATAAAAGTAGCAGAATCCCACCCCTACCTCTCACCACGTCCTTCATCGGCGTACGGGAGATTCCCGGGGAGGGTGAACGGGGGTCACTTATGGGAGCAGGACGCCCACACGCGACCTCAACGGGACCTTGCGACGCGACGCCCACCTGTGGCGGACAGATGTTACGCACTTCAGAATCAACTTCGACAGATAAACGGCAGTGATACAGGTTAACAAGATGCGCACTAACCTGTATGGGTGTACGGTCGATGCCAGTGGTGGGAGATCGGGGGTCGACAAGGCGGCAGACCCGCTCGTTCCTCACTCGCCCACAGGGCTCCGGCTTTGAGGGGGTCACTGCAGTCTTACTGTTTCTGGTACCCATGTTTTCACCGACAAATCTTCAAAAACCAAAGAGCTGTTTTGTGGAAAATGGCTTTGGATAAAATACAACGCACAGCAGTGTCTTACACAACCATTTAAAACGAAATCTAGCTGAAAACGCTCCCCGTTTATGCTGTTACTCACAGTCTGAAAACGGTCGTGTTCACGGTAAAAACAAATTGTCGTATTTTGTTATTCTCAAGCGAAATCATATACGCTATCACGTGGCTTGCTAAACCACTACGAATTTAGTTAACCATCCAACCACGCAACCCCATGATCAAAAACAGACTAACGTAGTCATTAACTAGCCATAGTGATAGCCATTTAGTTATGCTTCTACCAGCTAGGTTAACTGTACAACTGGTAATAAGTTCTTTAACATATTTCCCCGACACGCTTCCTCCGTAGATCTTTCGTTTTTGCTTACCTTATCGCACAGATGCACTTTTGATAGCACACGTGCTAAACTCCTTATATATTTAGGAATCGTCGCTTCTCAGGGCAGTTTAATCCTTGTTATATGCGACCAATATTTAAATGTGCTGCAGCGTGCTTCCAGCGATTTTCAAACCAGCCAATCGGCGAGCTCCTCCAGGATGGCATGCGAGGCGCTGATTGGCCATCGCTGGACGACGCTACGCTGGCAGGACCTGCCGCCGACGTTTGAAAAACATTTTTTTTTGGTAGTAAATAGGCGTACCTGCGTTATGCCACACCCGTTTAAAATGCAATTTCTGCACACCCTTAACCACCACTTGTACTTCCCAACTGACGTTAGACTTTGAGACATACAATTTTGGTCCAGAAGAATGTTATATTGTAGTGACCAATTGCTGTAATTTATATGTAACAAATAACATATGTACACACACACATACACACAGGGTTACCAGCTTTGGTTCTTCATAAAGGAATAATACATTTGCAGGGCTGTCAACTTTGGTCAGCCGGTTGGCGTGAGATTTTCGATTTCAGACAAGTCCGCACACGCATTTACACCTTTGTGACAGTTTTATTCCCTTGTAAATGGTCTGTAGGGTTTGCAAACTACCCCAACGCTTTTGCTGCAGCTAATTTTAGGTTTATAATGTAATAATATAAATTTGCTGTAAGATTTCTTGTACGAGCGTGAGAGTCCGAAAGCGTGAGTGTCACGCCAGATGCGTGAGAGTTGGCAGCCCTGCATTTGCCATAAGATTTCTTACGTGAGTTTGAGAGTCTGAAAGCATGAGTATTTACACCAGATGCGTGAGAGCTGGCAACTGTTGGAATACGCCGTCTCCACCGGGTCCGTGGATGAGAAGAGATTCACAGCTGACACGGGGAGAAGTTGCAAATCACCGGTTTATTCTCTTGACTGATTATAATCAGGGAGCGACCATCTGACATACATTCATCATGTACAGGAGGGGGCTCTGCCATATGTATGAGCTGTATCCCTTTTAAAGCCCTTTGGGCATCTCCCCCCCTCTCTCGGTACCTTCCATCTACGTGACAACCACGTTTGACATTTGCTCTACTTAGTCAGTTAGTAGGCCTACTTGTCCTTGTGGAAGGCTACAGATACGTAAGGGCCGCTGACATTTTCAGTCGCTCCCTCTATCGGTCCCAATTAGGTAACCTTGCCCTGCTGGCGCCAGTCAGTTCTCGTTTCAGTTAACTGCATTTTTTAGAATGAACCCCCCCCCCTTTTCATCATGCCCTGCTTTAAGCTATATTCTCCTTTTCCTCTATTCATTGTATGTTCTTTATAATTCTATTGAATCCCACACAACCCTGTATATAAAACAAATGGTATAAACCTGTTACAGACATGATTTCAAAGCTTTATTGCTTTAGATCACAGACACCATTACAGCCAACTTTACTGTTGTTAAAACAATAGCACACAATTGTGGTACAGTACAATTAATGTATAGAAGCATTTACAAATTATTTTACATCATCGGCGATGCCTGGATAAGGATGAACACAAAGTGTGGCCTGCTCCTTATTCCCTTCTGGTCGTAGTGTTTCAGCAGGCACTGTACTGTTGCCATTGGCACTTACCCATATCCTTTTCCACATCCTCATCCAAAGTGAACTGCTTTCCTAGCTATCCAAGTATATGAATAAGGACAAACTATGTGCTAAACTGAATAAAGAGCTAAAGTGGACAATGCTGCATACTTGACCCCATGTGCCCTAAAGTCGTTCATTTTTATTGGACAGAGGTGATGTAAGGCAGCATTAAATAGTCGCCCCTGTGCATGAAAAATGGAGAACCTCGTACTGGTAGCTAAGTTCAGCCAGACAGCATGTCTGCTAGTTCTGTCCATCACTCAGCCTAAGTCACTATATCATATATTTCCATGTGCTGTTGTAGCTCAGTGTTCCATTCTGCCCCCTGCCTGCTCACCGTCACCCTCTCTAATGCCTGCCAGTCACTCCCACTCCCAAACAGCGATCCCCCCTTTCTTTTATAGTGCATTCACACGCGATGTCCCCCCCCCCCCAGCAGCTCATCTCAGTCTGGCCCAGCCTCTCCCTCCCCTTCTTGTCGTGCAAAGTGGGCCAGCAGCGTGTCCAGGTCGCGGCGGTCAGCCGCGGCGTACAGCGAACTCTCTCCCATCATGCTCAGCGCCATGCGCAGTGTGGACCAGATGTTGTCTGACATGGCGACTGCCGCTCTGCCGCCCCTGGTGTCGCCGTCGCCGGCCGCCTGTCTCTGAAGAGATAAGGCCTCCAGGAAATGCTCCACTGCCTCTCTGCATGGGACAGGGCGGAAACATTAATAAATAAGCTAATCAGACACCACTCCGAGCGAACCAGCTATATCCATACCTGTCCATCACATTGTCTTCTAATATTTAATCAGGACACTATAAACACCAGGCAACATCCATCTTATTATTTTTCTATTTTTATTTAGCAGACACTTTTATCCAAAGCAACTTACATTTTTGAGAAGGCAGTCCCTGGAGCAATGATACAACAATAAACAGACACAACAATAAACAACAATGAACCCACTCAGCCAACAACAGGATTTGAGCCGGCGAGCTTCCAATCACCTGAGCCACACACTGCACCCCCATCATCCATAACCTCTTATTCCAGCACCGGGTTATGGGCCCAGTGTCTATCCTAGCAACCGGGTTATGGGCCCAGTGTCTATCCTAGCAACCGGGTTATGGGCCCAGTGTCTATCCTAGCAACCGGGTTATGTGCCCAGTGTCCATCCCAGCACCGGGTTATGGGCCCAGAGTCTATCCCAGCACCAGATTATGGGCCTGAAGCCTATTTCAGCACTGGGTTATGGGCCTGGAGCCTATCCCTGGAAACCCTACGTATAAGGCATGGGATGCCCTGGATTGGATGCCAGTCTGTTGCAGGGCATGCACTAAATACTCAAATGTATTTAAATAATATTTAAATCTAATTTGTAAGACTATACATTATCTGGATACCCTACTGTCTCTGGAAGAGAAGGTAAAGCTTTGGCTAATAACTAATTTGAAATATAATAATTTCCTTAGTCATCAGTGTGCCCTATGATAATAATGATGCAATTTATCAACTGATATCTCACCTGTGAGCCCCCAGGTTGACGCAGCTTATGCCCAGATTGTATCGACTGCGGACGAAGCCCGGTTGCAATTCCAGAGCTCTCCTGTAGGCGGCGACAGCCTCTTCTGAGCGGCTCCCATTTGCGAGGGTAGCACCAAGCTTATTCCACAGAAGGTAATCCTGGTGCCGGGAAAGTGAGGAGCAACACAAAACTGGCAAGTCAGTCAGCTGTCGAACACCTAAACACGAATAAAAAGGACGGAGACGGCAAGGGGGGGTCACCTGTGGGGTGACAGAGAGGGCAGCACTGAAGCAGTCCACGGCCTTGTCGTACTCTCCACTCAGGTTGAACAAGACGCCCAGGCCGCACTGGAGTTGTGGGTCAACGTGGGTTGGGTCAGAGGTGGCCGCGTTCAAGAACAGGGACTGCACCTCCATGAAAAGGGACCTGGGAGGAAGGCGAGGCGGGTGGAACACTCCTGAGCACTGGAGGATTCCTTAGGATTCAGCGCCGTACTGCAGGATGCTGACTATTCAGTAAGTCTTACTGGGACATGTGACCAGCTGGGGCTTGCCATCACAGCGAATGAGCTGCAAAGAGCTCTCTAAGCCCAGGCCTTCTGCAGCCTGAGAGGTGACCCATGCCCCACGCTCCCCCTTTGGCCTCCTGCATCTTATAATGGAGGCTGAATGTCTCTGCTTAGCCACACATCATAATAAAGTTTTGCTCAATCAGACTCCCAAGGCAACCGCATGAGCAAAAGCTAAATCCATCCAAACACTCTGAGGATCAAAGCCAAAAATTCAGGAGACTCCTCACTGCTTAGGGGTTAGACCACCTAATGTAGCTGTGTGATGTCATTTCCTGACTAAGAGACACCCCTTCCCCAGAGACAACGGGAGGCGGGAGGGTACTCACACACGTATCAGATATATCTAGACAGTAACAGCAGAGTCAGACTCACTCCGGCAGCAATGATCCAAATCGTTCCCTTTCCTTCTCTCTTTCCCTGACTCCCTCCTTTTCCTGCTCCTGTTCATGCTGCTCTAGGATCGGCCGGTACTTGGGATTGTGCCTCAGCCAATCGCGTAGCGTCTCGCAGGCCTGCCTGTGCAGCGTTTCGTTGGTAAAGCTGACGGCCAGGGCCATCAAGGCCGTCAGATTGTCATTCTTCAGCTCTATGCATCTAAAAAATTAAAAATCAGCACAGTTTGAACTGAGTCATAGGCGTGTGAATGGTTTGGTGACGCATAAAGTCAGTAAAAAGCCTGTTAAATATGTATGCAAACACTCTGTAAACACCCAAAACGTGTGAGCGACAGGACAGACACACCCTGCTAACTCCACATTCACAGCTTAAGACTGAGATTCATATGTAGATCTCTCAGTATCACAAATGAAATTAAGCTTGATGAGAATTTTTCAGTTAAAATGTGCCGTTCTACATGTTACAAGAGGCACCTGCGGAGGGCACTGATGGCGGCGAACTCTTGCTCGTTTTCTGCCTGGCACGTGCCCAAATACTGCCAAGCCTGGGGAAAGAAACACATTGAGAAATAGAAGCCTATGGGAAGCTGAACTGGCATGCGGCCATGACACTGACGGCAGACGTGAGCACTGCCTCACTAGGTGGTTGTCAGGTTCTCTCTGCACAGCACTTTCGAACAGCCGCACTGCCCCCGGGATGTCCCCCGCCTCCATCCGGCGCAGCCCCTCGCTCAGGGGGTCCTGGTGTGACAGGTATGGGTTGTCTTCCTCGAACTGGTAACCCTTAGGGCCAGAGGGAACGAGAACATTTTTTGCTGCATTTCATTTATCCGAAGAGAGCTGGGTCAAATTGTCCCTAGAGCAAAAGACCAAACTGTGAGATCTGCTGACCACGGGATCTGAACCCATGACCTTCCGATCAAAGACACAGTGTCCTAACCCACAGAGCCACACACTTTAGAAATGCTAAATAGGGATCTCTCAGTACATCACGGGAGAGGAGTTCTCCATAAAGGGAGACCCTGGAGCAGCCAGCCCGACCCCCACCCTCTGACGTTCCGTCAGGGCCGGGCACCTTATCATACGAGGTGCTCATCAGCTGGTCGAAGTCGGACAGCCAGGGGTGACTCTCTGCGTCCCTCTTGGCCATTTCCTCCCACTCCTCCTGCAGCTTCTCCCAGAAGTCCACGTCGCTCTGGACGTGCGGAGGGTACAGACTCACTGACATGCCTCATCAGAAGGCAGCTCATCACACACCCTATGCACACCGTAGCCACTGCTACATAGCAAGGGGGAAACAAAGGCTCGCCTGTCGGCCCAGTTCACTCACTTCCACTGCAGCTTTGGCCTGCTGGAAGTCTTGTCCCGAAGTAGTGAACTCGTCTACCCAGGATTCAGCCGACTCTCCCGACACCTGGGAAAAAGACACAGAAGCACAGCTCCAGTGCTACAGCAGAAACACACTCGTCCATCAGACATCAGCTGAGAGAGAAATGAGACACACGGATGAAAGAATAAAGGGAACAGAAAATGTAAGGTGATGGTGTCCTGCTCTTTCCCTCCGCTTCCTATGAGCGCACAGGCGCTGAGGTCTTTCCCGAGAGCAGCCACGCGCTCGCTAGCATGTCCTGCACTCACAATGCGGCCCAACTGCAGCTACATGAACGTAAGCACTGTATCGTTCCTTAAGAATATGCCCCTTTCATAACAAGGGTAAAGTCAGGCATAATGAAGCAGTTATCGGCACTGGATACACATACGCTACAGGTATTTGTACGCAGCGTGTGAGGCAGCGCGCCCTGCTGGCCGGAGCCTCAGGCCTACCTGCCTCAGGATGGCAGCCCAGTCAAACGCAAGCTTAGCATTAGTCCTGTCAGTCTTCTCTTTGCCCTCTCGAGTTTCCACTTGCACAGCCCCTCCCCCTGTCTCCTCCAAGGACTTCGAGGTTGTGATCATGGGGGGGGGGGGGGGGTCGTATGCATTTTTTTTAATGGTCGGGGATTAACGGGGAAGGGTGTGATGCAGGAGTGCATGACGGGTAAGGAGAGAGGATGAAGGAAGGGCAGACCAGAAGGCAGTTTATCACTGGGGTATGATTACAGGCGTAATGACCTGAATGTGCTACAGACAGCCTCTGCCATTCTCTGTGCAATGCCGCCCTATTTACACCCATACAGTGCATCACATGTATACAACAAGAATTCACTTACATATTTCACATATAAATTCTTAGAAAAACAGCACAGCACTTCACATAAGTGAAACTGAATCATCTGAACAAACTAGAACTTCCCCTGGACATACAGATTAGCAATAAGTCATATGTGCTACAACACTATAGCCTTAAACAATAAAATAAACGGATTACAATTACATTTATCGCTGGCCTAGCAACTACACAATGATAATCTTGTCCCATAGACACAGGCTGTATTTAACTAGCTCACCAATGGTTAGAAAACCAGGTGCAGTCAGTTAACATTTGCTTACTAATTATCACCATTCTCTAACTAGAATTTTCAACTTTCTATGTTTCTATGTACCTGATAGCTAGGTAAACGGACTTATTAATAACATGACATGCTCGCTTAATCTCAGGGCGGGGCCCTCTGACAGCGGGCGGCCATGGCGTGGGGTCCTACCTGGTTGATCTTAGTTGCCCAATGCTGTGCCAGCTGGGCCTGTGCTCTATCTGTGTGCTCCCTGCCTGCTCTGTCCTCCACTGTCACACTGCCCTCGCCAATCTGCCTAATGAACCGCAGGAACTACACAACAGACAACAACAACAACACAGCAGTGATTACTCTGCTAGCTAAGGACTCTGCACTTCAGCACGGCGCATTGCTACAGCACAGTCACACGACACTGAGAAGAGGGAGAAAGGCAAAATTAATCACTGCTACCAAACGTGGCGACGGCAACACAAAGACACGAAAACAATAACGGCGACCACAGCGAGCAAATAATATATACAAGAAAGGGAGCAAAATCACATGGCACAACAGAGGCACGCTCCTACGGGCAGACACGTAACCTACTTCAGTATTCTGCAGTTTGGGGTCGTCGACTTTGGCCAGAAGCTCATTGGCTGCTTGCTTAAGCTCCTCCCCCGGCTGGTATTCCTGGGTCCTGGTCGATTCACAGGGGTAAAGGACTTTTATGAATCAACATTATGATACAGCACTGAAGTATGTACCCTGCTGACTGGTGTACACTGGTGACTTCCATCCATATTCAATACGTTTAATGTTCCTAAGCTGTTCATTCAGTCTGTTCCAGTAAAATCAGCGTTAAATAATGCCTCTTTCATGTTACAGTGTTTTGCGGAAGGGACTAGGTTGCATTTTTACATGTATATTTTAAAAAATACAACTTCCAGAGCACATTTTAATAATGTAGACTACTCTTAGCAAGGATTCATGGGAAATGAACCATTAAGTGACCATAAGATACATAAGCTGGCACTCCAGGCTGGATATTGAGGTTTAAAACGGTGCCGCTGCACTGAACACTCATTTCCGCAGAATGTGGACATTGTTCTCGGTGAAGAAAAGCAAGCGATACACTCCAGCAGGCTGAATCAGAGTCGAGTCGCTCATATATTTCTGTGAAACAACCGCAATCCTCAGAAATGGGGCTGCTACCACTATCCCGAATGATCATACATAACCCAGCAGTCTGTCACAGTAAAGCCAAGAAACTGCCCAGTCACTCTACCAGAAATGTAATTTAGGTATTACGCATAAATATAATCATTGGCTTTTGTGCATTTCCAGTATATGGAGGTTCTAGGAAAATGCTGGCCCATTCATGGCATTCATCATCCTTGCAGTGCAATTTCCTTTGAATTTGTAGGCCATTGTCATTGAACAAAAAGAACAAATCGTTTTTTTCTGGAATTCACCTTTGAGCATCACGAATAATGGCTGTTCTGCTGTTCTTTATCCTCACACTCTTAAGGACTCCTGTCTGTTATGCCCCCGCTGACTGCACCTCCATTGTACCCTCTCCACCCCCATGCTCCTCCCTAACCCACTGCCTCTCCATCATACCCTCTCCACCCCCCTTACGCTTCTCCCAAATCCATCTCTCACCACTCTCGATCCTGCTCCCTCTCTCCCAGGTCTCCAAGCCACAGCTTCTCCTCAGATTGCTCCAGGTACTCCTCTGCCCAGCGCCCAGGGTCTGAGGGAGGGAGGGAGAAGCAGGTCACAGACTCCACCAGAATGGGGGGCTGGGAGAGAGGCAGAAAGCCTAAACGCGATGTGGCACACCTGTCACGTCCGCAATGAATTCTCGAGTCCAGTCGGCTTCGGCGGCGTCCTCGGGCCCTACTTGCCCGGGCGTGGAGGCCGATTCGGGGGAGGACAGGAACTCGGCCGCCCAGTCTCCAGATAGTGCCAGGGCCGCTACACCAGGAGCTAAGCACAACCAGCACGAGGAGGCACGTGAGGGTGTGAGGTGCCTGAGTGCCAAGAGTCAGAGCAGCCGGTGGCTGCTGCTGATGTTGATTTGGACTGGGGTACAGTCTGAGGCAGGGTTCACCTCTCTGTGGGGCCTGTCTATAGCTTTGCTGGTCAATCTGCTGCATCTCCTCCAGCAGCTGGCCCATGTCGAAGCTGTGCGGGGGCCTGGGAGGCGCCTGCAGGAACTCGCTCACCAGCTGTGGCGTGGATATCGTCACGAATCAGCCCTCCACGTCAGTGCGAGGGGGGCTCACCAATACCAGGGCCTCTATCAGAACTACGTGGCTGACATTTCGGAAACGGTAAGCACAATCAGGGAGCTATCTTCACGAGGGAGACCTACCTCTTCCTCTGTGGCTATTTCAATGGGAGTCGGAGGGATCTAAGAGAATCAAAGGAAACAGAAGCCATGCATGTTGTTGGTCAGCCTACAAACACACTGCATCCCCGCAAAGACCCCTGTCCCCTATATTACTCAAAATGCCCAAATCGCAAGAGTTGTGCCATTAACCATCATTGTTACCAAAATAAATTATAATTACTTACAGTGGGCGTGGCCCTGTGCCGCCAAGCTCCTCCTTCTTGAGTCATGTGACTTGTCAGCTTCATCAGAGGGTTGGCGGCCCCACACTCCGCTTCGACAAGATCCCGCATTGCCATGGCAACTGATGATAGGGGCAAATCGCAGGGAATAACTCGGTTGGCAGCGCCAACCAGCAAGAGTGTATCATTTAAAGAGAAAATAAGTGCATATTACCTGACTAATTCATTATATATCCCAAAATATGCGTTAACAGCCTCAGAATAATCGGCCTAGCTCATTGACATGCATATCTTGTCATTTAGTTGTTACATTGAGTACATTACCCAAAGGCAACAATCACACACAATAATGCAAAAAACAAAACAGGCCAATAAACAGAGGGGCTGTAAGCCAGCCTGCTGGGGATAAGACATATTCAACTGACAAGAAGAAATCCTGTAAACATGAAGCCAGGTTAATAAGATCATCTGGAGGCATTTAATAATGAACATCAGGAGACTAACAGGATTACAAGCCCTCTTAGAAGCCAAAAATAACCCTTAAATGAGCAATGATGGACATGACTGCACGCAGGTGTAAAGTTAAAATCTCATTACAGTTACATGTCCCATGACATCCCAGCTTAAGTATGATGACGCTGTTGTGATTTTATGTCACTCACAATAAATTCTTAATATGGTTTTATTTCAAACACACAGTGAATAAATATTTGGGTAGATGACTTTATTAATAAAGAACAGCAGGGAACTTTTGTACCGGATGTATGTATAACATTGTATATTTGAGTCTGGCATTCTGTCATTTGAGGCTGCACTGTAAATATCTACAACTCCACAGTTCACCCTAAGGAGGATTAGTGCAATTACAAAATATACCAAAGCGGACTAGATTTTATGCATTATTTAGTTGCAAATTATTGCAACTGCAAATCAGAGTTATTGATTTACATAAAAACATTTTAGGGAAGTTTCAGGGAAGCGTGGAAGGGCTTTGTACTGTAAAAGTTTCTATGGTCATGAGAATTACAGCATGCATCACTATACTGCACTGGGGAATCGTAATTTGACACTAACCAATAACCTCGACTGGATTCTAAAGCCTGTGTTAGTAATCAATGGACCCAAGGTTTATTATTTATCCAAACACGGTTTGTGCATTAACATGTAGCCAGCTCTAAGCTAACACTAGCTGTCACATGTCATTGGAGGCGCTTAATAAAATATCACTTGGCATGCAGACCGTACATACCCTGATCATTAATACTAGAAAGAAAGGAGATACAAATGCAAAGGTCATTTAGTAACTGTAAGCGCAAAACAGACCCAGAACACCAGAACTGGTCCGCAGATGTACCTCGGAAATGAAAGGAATGCCAAACAACTCACAATGTCGGTGAACGTTCCGTCCTTCCTCTATTAGCCTTAGCCAGCTGGAAAATTACACTCCCCCCCGGCAAACAGGCTACACTTATCTAGGGGGATAACATGTCTAGCAAGGCAAATGCCGACGTATTAACAGTGATCCCTGTTTACATGTGTCTTTTTCCCCCACGTCGCGGTCCCGGCGGAGACAAAAAATTGTAAGGACGTAAATGTACGTTAATCTTGCTGGCCGAATTCACGGAAGATGTTTACGCAGTTGTGGCTGCACGTTCTGAATGTAGCGGGTACGAAATTTACGTAGCTGACGTTGTAGCTGACGTCAGCGGAGGAATGGCTCACTGAGCATTAATGCTGATTTCCAGGCTAGAGACAAGATAAAAATCGCTGGAAGCAGAGAAGACATTAAGGTTTTAAGTCTCTGGTGTGGACTTACCTACCAAAACTATAAATTAATGGTTGTTAGTAGTTGCATGCCCTTGGAATAACCTGCTATGCTAAAGAGATCAGGCTGTCAGCAAAGCTTGGCTGTATTTGCATAGTACGTTGCGAAAGATGTGAATGCAAAGTCCAGCTTCGGTGCGCCGGTACGGTCATTAGAGTTCACTTGAATTTGCGCTTTGAATTGGCAAGTAAAATATATTGTTACTAACAGCAGTACGTTTTTTTTTTTGATAGGCCTATTAACGGTACATTTTTTGGACTGATGGTGTCACATTTTGAACAGTATAACCCACTGGTATTACACATTAAAATAAAAGGGAGTAGAGTAATATAGTGGTAGATATTGGGAATGAACAAAATAATGGACCACATGAACATCACATGAACATCAAAAAGTTACCAGTCAAACGTTTTTGCACACTCTGAGATTTTCCACATTAGCATGTTATTCACTAAACATTTACTAAAAAGAAACACTATTTGCTAACAAATAAATTTACAGTAATTTCATTAGCAAGAAAATGACATATTTTTGATTAATCAAAGTAACCTCCTCTAGCAGTTATAACAGCAGAGAAAAGTCAATGCATTCTTTCTACAAGGGACATTAAATATTGTTGTTCAATGGGAAGAAACAGCTAACTAGTGCATTAAAGTTAAAGGAAAGCCTAGAATATGACTATGCCATTACCACACAACCAGTTAATAGGATGTCAGACATGCAGTGTTACATACTCTTTCCATGTTACAAAGGAAATTTATTTGATATATTTGACACATTTTCAACTTTCCATTGCTTAACAAGAATAAAAAATCTGCAGTTTATTAAATAAGTGGAAAATGGTAAAAACTTGTGGTGTGCAAAAACATTTGACTGATAGTGTAACTACAAAGGTGAATTGTATTAGGCTGAGTATCAATTAATAGTATTTGTCAGTTATACAACATGTATGGAACTCTGAGTTACAAAACATCCAGAGGCTAAATAACTGGTGTCTGAATTGCTGGTGCGTCAAAATAAATCTAAAATGATTTAATGTGTCAGTGAGAGCTGTAAATCATTACATCACATGCTAAACATGGATAAACTCCATCAGGAGAGCTGAACAGTGGTCACAAGTAGAGGATCATGGACGAGGATGGACAGACACTTCATGCTTTTATACACGGTCAAAGTACAAAGACATCTGACCTGGTGTGAGGAGCTGAAATCCTGGACCCTTATACAAGGAAAGAAAGTAATGTGGCCTGACGAGTCAGCCTCGTCCCATGACCATTCCCATCCCATGCGAGCCTCAGCAGCAGCATGCAAGGAAAACTTAAATATTTAATACTGGCAAAGCATCTGTCCCGATGTCCGACACATTCTGAGAGCCTGCAAATCCCAGCTTGCTGGTGTTTACAGACGTTCATCTCTCTGTCTCTCAAGTAGTCCACAGCTCCCACCTGTTTAAAATAAAAAAAAAAAACAATGAAATCATTATGATCCTAAAGAAACACAAAATGGACAATCTAAACTAGGGCTCAAGGTCTGAGCACAGCTGATTTTCTAGCCTTCCTTTACCCGTAAGGATGTAAAGTCTCTGGCCCATCAGAAAATTATTAAACTAACTGCCTGGGAGAACTAAAAATAAGTCCTGCATTTGGAATCGAGGTCTAGATATGAAGAGCCCTGATCTAAAACCAGCGGTTCTCAGCTGGCTTAACACTAGAAAGACTGACTGGGTCAATTGACCCAAATCAAGCAAAATCAGTGCTATTTCTCATTGAAGTTCTTGCTACAAAAATCTGAAAAAATCTGACTTTTATTTTTTTAACATTCTTGAACAGAACATGGTAACACAAATGAAGTTGCTGGTG